ACAGTTTATGTCTCCATCTCTTATCTGAATATTGTCAAAAGACACAAAACACAAAGCGCACAGCTCTCTCCTACAAGCTGCTTTGTCAATCTCAACACAAATTTATACTATATTATATTATATTCTGCCACATAAAGCCCACCAAGCTTTTGAGTAGAATATTACCATCTCATATAAGCTACTTCCCATCTCATGTCACAGTAAAGATGATGGTTGTCATCTTAGCAACCACTCAGTTTTTTCGAGAATTTGTTCTTTGTGTTAGTGTTATATTCTTTCGTTGCAGTGCATTGCAATTTGCATGCACAATTCATATTAAATTCAAGAAAAAATTAAGGTGGCTTGGTTTGCTTTGATCCTCTGCCTCAGTTTGCCTCAGATGTGAGATCGATGGCAAAACAATGAGAAATACAAGAACCTTTTTGCATGCGTCCGTCCTAGCTAGCACTTTGTTTTGGTTAAAAAACTATATCTATCTTCACAGCCGCAGCTCTTAATTTCTATATTAATTTTAACCTAGCTTATTCCAGCGTAAGTAAACCAAAACTTTTATGTATGATGACTAAGAAAACCACTACCTAGACATGTTGTTTGACTTACTTAATAGGTAATTACTTGTTTTTAAAAGTAAACTGTTTTCTATGGAAGCCCTTTACAATTGACAAAGACAATTTGTACACTTGTTTCAGAAGCAGACGGGATGCTGCATTTGCGGTTGTAAGATGGGAGAAATGAATGAACAGAAGCCAATGGAAAAAGAAGACAAAGAAGTACGTTTGGATTTAAATATTTCTGCGGACCAAAATTGTCTGAATTTTTTGTGGTATGGAGTGCTCTCAAGTACTAACTCCCTTTATATATAGACGACAGTTAACCATCCAATTAACTGCTAAAGGAAGAAACCCAACAACTGAGCCAACCAGTAGAAATATCAATCATATTCCACATCCCATCAAAAACCAGAGGAATATCAATGTCAGTGGAGTTTGAATTCATTAATTTGCTAATTAAGCTAAAGAATTGATGAGTTTAAGCCAGCCACACATGAAAAATATATATAGAATTTATTCCATATGCTTATCGAGACGAAAGCATATATTATATATGGATCAGTCACTGGTCGAATTCCCAGATATATAATCAGCATATATGTATAAGGCTTTATGGTGACATTACAAGGTGCAAATTGTGACAAGGGTGGTGATTTTTCTAAGTGCATTATTGCAGTATATATGATCACCAAATTGAAACAATTTCTGGACAAATCCGCTTCTGAATTCCATAAGATAGCAAGGGTGAAAGCTATATATATATATATATATATATATATATATAAATATATTATGGTGTAAATTTTCAATTTGCAAAGGTGGGTGGAATAATTGCTGGACCTCGTTCCTTATTCTAATAATATTATAAAAGATTGCTGACCAATATTGGTGATAGCAACTTTACAATTTCGGGCACTCACTCACACTCACACTCACACCAAAACTAATATTAAGAATCCACCGCGCGCGCGCGCATAGAATCATATACACCCACCACCACCACCAACCTACCTATCTCTTCATGCAGTCTTCATAACTATTAACTAACATGATGTGTTTGAACTCTCCAAGACTTTTTTGACCGAATTTCATAAGTAATTAGGTCCGTTCAGAGGGCAATTTTAACTGTTTCAGGCAAAAGTTTTCCTTAGGATAGAAACATCCCAGTTTCAAGATATTCATCGAGTCCGGCAAAAGGCCATACACTATAACTGTTTGAAAAAAGTCGTATAATTTGTTTCTCATTCGCTTAATGATATTGCACGTTACATCATCTTTGCAATAACATCGATCCCTCCTAAAAAGATAAAAAAAGAATACAAAAAGACAAAGGAACAAAGTTTGCTTTGTCCTGCAGTGCACTGTGTGCATGCATATATATACATAATAAGTAGCCAATCAAGTTCATCAACATTTCCAAGCTAACTATACATTCACTAGAATTAATATCATTCTTGCAGAGATGATAGGTTGGGGAGATGTTTACAAGGTGGTGGTGGCCATGGTGCCACTCTACGTTGCCCTAATTCTAGGGTTTGGTTCTGTGAGGTGGTGGCGCATCTTCACTCCCGAACAGTGTGGTGCAATCAACCGCTTTGTTTGCTTCTTCACTCTCCCACTCTTCACATTTGAATTCACAGCTCATGTTGATCCTTACAAATGGAACTACCGCTTCATTGGTGCGGACGCCATCTCAAAACTCATAATCGTGGCGGTGCTCGCGTTATGGGCCAAGTGTAGTAGCAAGGGAAGCTATAGTTGGTCCATCACAAGCTTCTCCTTGTGCACTTTGACAAATTCGCTTGTGGTAGGGGTACCCTTGATGAGAGCCATGTATGGTCAGGTAGCCGTTGATCTTGTTGTTCAATCATCGGTGGTGCAGGCTATCGTGTGGCTGACAATTCTTCTGTTCGTCTTAGAATTTCGACGAACGGGGTCGTTAGACATGCATATGATTTCGGGGACTAACACAAGTCAATCGGTGGAGCAAGGTGAAGGAGGGAAAG